ATGATACATATCATGACAGAGGGGTCACGATACGATATATCCCGATATATTGCGAGACGAGGATATAAGCAAGGCGATAACATTAATAACATTAATAAAAAAATCGATACAGGGCTTTAGAATATCGATACAGTATCGGGAAATGAAATATCGCGATATTTCAGTGTATCGATATTTTCTTACACCCCTACTAAATACATAATAAAGCTATCAGCTATAAGCTAATAAGATATCAATAAAACAGTTGCCAACATAAAAACTGTCATACAACTCTAAATTCATCATTCAGTGTTAAATTTTCTTGCCATTCTTAACATACCAACTCAAGAAGAAAAGCATTTAGTTGAAACATTTAGTTTTGAGTCCTGCTTTGTTAAGCTCTTTTTTTCTTTTTTTATTTTTTTGTAGTCGCAACATATTTCTACAAATATGGTCCTGCAGGAGAGACACAATGCGTTTCTGGAAAATTTACATACCACGAGATAATTAGACCCCACAGACACCTCGGTACAGGAAATGTTAGCAGCTCACACTGTACAAACGAGCTGCTTACAAGAGAAATAAAGAGGCTTGCTGGGAAACAAATGGAAGCTGTTGTTTGATTGTCGAGATCTGATACTCAGACAGATTTCTACTGTACAATCTTTTTTTTTTTCATTTCTCTTTCTCTCTGTGTGCCCTCCTTCAGCCCTGCAGAAGAGCTGAGCTTTGGTTCTGGAGACAATGAGAGGAAATGCCTCATTATCTTGAGCAACGTGACCAAAAATCAGGTGGCCTTTAAGGTGAGTCTGAAAGGATTTTAACCCAACTGTGTGGCCAGTTATTTAATCTGTTCCCTCGTTAACAAATAGCTATGATGAATGGGTTATTTTCCAATAAGCAGCTTTGTAGGGATTTCATTGGCTAACATGTTGTGTGCCTGCACAGGTCCGGACCACAGCACCTGAGAAGTACAGGGTGAAGCCCAGCAGCAGCAGCTGTGAACCGGGAGCTTCAGTAGACATAGTCGTGTCTTTACATGGAGGTACTGCTCTGCGCTCGTTTTAAAGTGCTGAACACCAAAATAATCAAACACTTCACTCTGTTACCTTCTTAAAGTGCTTGCAGCCTCGCTTTTTTTATTTTTTTATTTTTTTTGCCTGACATGCGTATTTCAGGAAAGATAAAAGAATCGTCCCCCCCCAAACATCCGACAGCTGACAGTGTGCTGAGGTACTCAGCGACCTTCAAGCGCTGATGTGTCAGCCGAGGGTTATGATGTGCTGAACGCAGCGGAGGAGACTCAGCATGACCTCTTTCAGAGCTGCCTTTCTTTTCTTATTCCTTCTTGTCTGCTGTCAGAAACAAACCTTCTTCTCCGCTGTCGTGCAGAGTAAATAAAAAGCAACGGCGTGTAGGAAAAGATAGGGGAAACTTCCAACGAGAAGTTGTTTTTGTTTAACGGGGCCCTCTGCTGGGTGTGCGCAGGTTCCCAGGCCTCTCCGCAAGACAGATTTCTGATCATGGCCGCAGAAATGGAAAACGTTGGATCACAAGATCTGGCACAGTTCTGGAAAGAAGTACCGAAAGCAAAAATCATGGAACACAGGTGCGTGWTAGTTCTTATTATAAGACTGCTGAAAAATGCTGATTTCCAGAAGGTCACTACATTTTTGGATTGTTTTTCTGTGAACTGAATTACCTGTGAGCTGTTACTGCCTTGCTTTAATCCTACATCCCAGGTCCTGTCAAATCTGGTGTCAAATGTTACATTTTAATGTTGATATGTTTTTGTTATCCTATTTGTAACAGTTATGGTTGGAGTTGGTTTAAACTCCTCTAAATTCCTTCCTGGTTTAAATTATTAGTTTTGAACCTCCCTGAAGCTTTGAAAAGATATTTTGAGCAATCTTTATCTTATCTCAAACTGTACTTTCTTTTAGGAATTTGAACCACTTTGCTACACATTTACAAATCCAAACCTGTAGACAGAACACCAGATCTCTGAAYTGTGTATTTTTTTTACAGATTACGTTGTCATGCTCTGGATAGTGTTAAACCAGCAGTGGACGCTCTCAGGGACAGTCCAGTGGACACCTTTAATGGTGGACAGCAGGAGGTCAGCACAGCAGTAAGTTCTAGTGAAACAAAAAATTTTTCAATTGTTGAGAAATATTTGTTCACTCAAAGCTTTGCGCTCAATAAAGCTGACCATGGTCTGTACTACTTCAAAACAAACAAAAAAAATGTCTGTTTTTCTTCTGCGAATGTGGGGAAAGTTTTAGATAAAAATGTGATTGTGCCACTTGCAGGTGATAGAAAGTTTAGGTTAGGACAACATGATGTGCTTATTCTTATCAAGCATTCAAACATTTAAAGAAAAGCATCCATTTTTTCTTCTGTAGGTTTTTTGTCTAATATCTCATTCTGCAATTTTTGTGCTATTTTAGAAATGTTTATATCAAAAGGTTCTGGCTATGACTTTTGGTAGTTCAGCAATTTATACTTTTTATTTTATTTAAAAGGAGACAGTGCAATTTAATAAAACGTGACAATTTGTAGTTTAAAAAAGCCAGAATTAGCCAAATGGCTATTTTTTTTCATCTGTAGATAATTAGCTTTTTTGCCATTTTTCTCTAAATGAAAATTAAAGCTTCATTCAACATTCATAAAATCCTTTTAAAATGTTTAAAAACCTTACTGCAYTTTTCACCTTTTGTTCTAATTTAAGCTTCATTTGTCCTCTTTTTTTTATTTTAGCCTTTTTCTGCCTTTTCAGCTATCTGCTCTTTTCTGCTATTCTGCTGATTTAAACATTTTTTGTACCTGAATCAGCTTCTTTCTCCTAATGTAAGCTTTGCATGCTTCTTTCAGCAGTTGCTTTCGATTTAAGCTACTTTTTATCTATTTCAGCTAATTTTAGCTTTGTTTGGCTAAATTCACCTTTTAGTGAAAATTTCAGCTACTTACTGCTTAATTCAGCAACCGTTCTCTTTCTGCTTCTTTGTGCTTGATTCAGATTTTTCTTCTGCTTCCTTTGAGCTATTTTACTGCTCTAATTTCAGCTTTTTGGTTCATTTCATAACAAATTTTTAGCATCAAAATGTATGTTGAGTGTTCATTCTTTTAGCATCACAAGGCTTCTTGCTTGATCTGTTTCTGACAGATTTATCAGTTCAAATTAAAAGGTTMTGTCACAGCTCAATCATTATCAGCATCTCTGTGTGAAATTTAAGAAAAAAAGACCTTACTGGCAAAAGATTATATATATTGTTAGAATTAGTTAAAAACAAGACGTGTTTGTTGGGCTCAGTCGGTTGTGAAGCTGGCCCGGACCACTACAGTAAATGCACTGACCTAAGAGTGGAACATAGGAGGGAAGAGGTGGCTCAAAATGTCTCGTCAGCCTTTACAGCTGTTTTATTTTTCTGAGGTTTATTTACTGCAGGTGAAGTGATCTTATCATAGGCTTTATGTCMGTTCAAACCACATTTTATAAAAGCTTGTGAACACAAGAAAAACACTCCCAGAACCCTTCAGACATGCCTACCTTCAGAGCACACTGACCAGTCTCCTTTCAAGCCACTTCTGCTTTTATGTGTAAACTGTACAGTGTAATGAATGGGAATCTGGTGAAGCAAAACACTTTTTTAAGTTTTGCACCCGCTTYGGATGTTATCATCCATTAAATGGAYGTTATTAGTCGTTATCAGTCCCATAGAATGGCTTCAGACTGTCAGCTGGTTAGTATGAGGCATGAAGCCACTAAGGTTAATTTTAGAGAAAATGGCTAAGATAAACTAGACCATTGTTGCTGGCCCAACATAGGGCAATGGGTAGAGTGCCAGACCGGAGAGCCAGGATCGAGACCAGGCACGGGCCGCAAGAAAACGGCGAGAAAACCRCGCCCTGCCCCGGACAAAAAATTAATTAAATTGTTATTTACACATTCAATGTCATTGATATATTAACCCACTAGGGGGCACTGTTGGGACAGTCCACCAGGGGGCACTGTCGGGACAGTCCGAAGCCATTCAATGGGACTGATAACCGCTAATAACATCCATTTAATGGACTGATAAYGTCAGAACCCTCTGAGTTTTTGGAGTTTTCAATTTGTTTGTTGAGCCTCTGCTTTAGGGTGTAATTTTTTTTAAAGAATATTGGAAATATTGCGTCCTTTACTGGCAATTTAATAAGATGGTTATCTCCTGCATGCAAGCAGAGAGACCTGGTTTGCCTCCGAGGAGAGAAAAGTGATTCAGTAAAACCTTAAGAAGAATTTAAATTGAAAACTATGACCTGGCCAAGTAGGAGATCTCTGGTGTGTTTTAAAAAGATACTGAGCAGAAAAGAGGAGCTGATTAAAATAGTTTCTGAAAAGAGTGGCGCTTTAAAGACATGTTTGAATCTAAGAAAGCCTCCAAATAGCATATTAAAGTATTTTGTATTTCTTCTTATGTTAAAAAAGTGGGTTTTCGTGTTTGTTTTGTTTTTTTGGTGGTGAATCTGTAACCACTTGTCAGATTAACTCAGTTTTTCTTTCTCCAGCTCATGCGATTGATGAACTGCAACTCCCGTCTGGAGCAGAAGGTGAACTCGTGTTTGTGGCTGCAGAAGGTCCTGGTCGTGTCGGTGCTGATCCTCATGGCACTCAACCTGCTGTGCCTCTACCTGCTGGGCACAACGAGCCAGCGTCCATCCTGACCCGCCGCCGCATCCTCTGCCTGCGTCTGTCAGCCTCCGACGTGCTGACGCTTCCAGCTGGGGCTGCGGTTGTCCACCCGAAGAGACGGCGGCGCTGCCCTCCCCACCCACCCATCCCTCCCCCAGGCTGATGTCTCGGAGAGGAGGAGAGCTGACTTTTTAAGGACACGTGAGCCGATGTGGAGCTCGTACCTGAAGAGAGATGAGGCTTTTTCCTCTTCTCACCATTCCGCAGTTAATCTAACAGACAATTGTAGCAGTGATGGTCATGAAAATGTATTTAAATAATGCAACAATCACAGTTTGTGCAGTGAAAATATTAGTCATTTTAAACTTGATGTTTACTTTTTATATTATAAATCTACAAAAAATGTATTTAAACCTACAAAACATGAAATAAACATCTTTTGTCAAAGTCTGTTCTTTTTTTCTTGCCATCGAACCCAACAAAACAGAGATGTCCCCGTACTTTGTCTCTCTTTTATGCAAAAATATTCACACTCTTTATTAAACCCTCATTAGTGCCGAGGTTTGTAATTGAAAACACAGCAACATACGACCTCACTCAACTTCTTCCACGCTTAGACCTGGGAGCCACGAGAGATCTTGGTCTGCACTATCTCATTTTGTTTTAATTACCCCAACACTAAACTAAACTAAAAATACCAAAGCAATTACTGGCAAGTTGCAAGGACGCGGCACAGCCCACTTGTATCTTAGCAGGGAGCACTGATATCTATAACAAGATCCAGCTCGGAGCAATCAGGACGCGAGGCGCTGCACAAGGAATGAGCTTATTAGATGTTTGCACACGTGAGACGACTGGAATCAAGAAGTGCAGTTTGTTTGCAGTGGGTGGAATGATTCATGCAGTCATGAGTAAACTAATTCTACTTTGATTATAAACACTTTTTATCATTTTGGAGGCTACMAAGTGATCATTCCTTGAAGATTACAGTGTTCTATTGTTGCTGTCAGCCTTATCCTTTGTACATTTCTGGTAAAAAGATAGCACAAATCATTTAAACTGTTAAATGATAATGAATAGTGAATATCTTACCTGTTTCAGATAGCACTTTGAATGGCCTTAAGTTTGAAAATAAAAACAGTTTGTTTGACCAAATTAACAAGCTAACAGATAATTCAAGTGGGGCTAAGACCAAAACCATCTTAAACGTCTCCAAACTCAAAAAATGTCCTATTTTCTCAAATTTTACACTTCTTGCTTATTTTAGCAGAAATGCTATATTAGTGCTAGAGCTAAGCTCGCCACTATTTCCCCTTACGAAAATAATTTCATGTAAATTACTATGTAAAGTCAAACTGACAACTATGCAAACGTTTATAAATTATTAAATGAATTTGTGACAGTTTTGCCAGTGGAGATGCACTGCCTAGCCAAAACAAAAAGGCACCACCTGTATTTAACCAAGCAAATAGGTACGAGCCTCCTATTGGATAATTACGGCATGGGCGATTATCTTGCAGCTGGCAACAAGTTATTTAACCTAACTGATGCAATGAGTTGCTTCTCATTACCTCTTAACAGTCACCCCTGAGATTCCTTAAAAGACTTTTGACATTTTTTATTTTATGTAAGGGTGTTGAGCTAAAGGGAAGAACCAGAGGAAGTTGTCTGACACCCTAGTTTAAAAATAATGATAATAAAAATAACCCTTTCAGACTTTTACATGTATCTTGACCCTCAGAAATCTGTAATTTTTACAAAAAACTCATAGTACTCACGTGATGCGACTGTTGGCAGTGGGGAAGCACAGCGAAAACAGAGGAGTGGTGCAGGGAAAGGAGGATGGGGAGAGGTGGCGAACTTATTTCTACTTATTTCTAGCAGCAGAGCAGGTTGGGCAATGGTTATTTAATTTTATTTATTGGGTTTTTTAAGTACCACAGGTTCTGAGATACCATTTTTATTCATGTATAATATGATCTCGAGTATAATGCGATCATTTTGAGCTTAAAAAGCATTAAAATTCAAATCAGTAGGGGTGCACCAATATGAAAATTTTAGCCGATATCGATATCCGATATAATTATTGCTGTTATGGCCGATAACCGATATTTACCGATATTGCACAAACACACAAATTATATTAGACATATTTGCACAAACACACTTGTCTTTTTTCGATACCGTAAATAAATGACCAGACCTCTGACATGGCTCCCTATTTCAGTTATTCCTGGCTGCGCAGTGTCAATATCACTATCATGATCAAACAGATACCGCTCAAYCAAACATTTCACCTCCCAAAACACAAACWCAAACCTAAAAAGTGGGAAATCAGTATCGGATGTTAATATCGACCCAGTTTTACATAWTGGGCCTTTACCAATGTTAATGCTKATATATCGTRCATCCCTACTAATCTTCAATAACCCGTSTATACTACTACCCCTCCATTTATGGAGGATTTTTAGGGTTAAATTTCTAGTATTATACATGAATAAATACAGTTAGTTTGAGCTTTTGAAAAAAAAATTCATGAGATTGCCCTATACGTCCATATGTCTGCAAAATGGGGGGGGGGGGGGGGGGGTGTCCCCTGTAATTTAATAATCTGTTCAACTTGAACACTATTCCTCCAAACTGAGGTCATTGAAAGGCTCAAAGAGCACCACTTCAAGAGATCCAAACTATCCCTTTAGTGTTTTTTTGTTAAAGACATGAAAAAGTGTTTTTGGATGTAAATCATACCGTGAGTTTCTCAGTTAAACTTTCAAAACAAACCCATTTAGCACTATTTTGGTCCAGAAAAAAAAAACAAACCAGGAAGAAAACAAGATGGGGGTTAATGGAGTGCGTTCCTCTAGAGAGCAGCAGTAAAAGCTTTGGTATCACATGTATGAGAGTTGACTTTAAGTGCGTCTGAGTGCCGAGGCTGTACCTGGCTGAACCCAGGAAACCATCAGGAGGAACTGCACGGAGCAGTGCCGTCAAACGTAAAACAATGACTGCAATGCGTCACCGTTTTTGATCCTACCTCCCTGACAGGGCCGTCTCACCGGTTTGTCTGGATCATGCTAATTACTGGGCAGTGTTTCACTCTGTGTGTGTTTCCCTGCAGCTGCACAAGTCAGAGGCTCCTCCATGGGATTGATTTTCCATTAACCATCAGTTAAATCAAAGCTGGACTCGGTGTGTGCCTGGCTCCAGGGTACTCCGGCAGTGCTCGAGGGTGGCAATGATTTAGTTTGGTTAGCAAAATGAGWCAGAGGGATCAATGGGGGCTTAATGAGAGCCGCGTTTAACAAGACGGGCTGCTTTTTGTCACGATGGAGAAGATCTCCGCAGAAGAACGAGCAGCACGCACGTTTTCAGCATCCCTCCAAATGACCTTTTTGAAGTCAARGACAGACATGGAAATCATTTATYAATTCCAGTAAAASTCAACCAGTTTTCTTTTCCCAGCGRCMGCATCTGCTTCACTGGGTTCCTTGTTGATTTACAGCRAGATCGAAACATGTTTTTCTGCCTTTTACTCCCTCTGGCATCTGGTGACAAGCGCTCTAATCAGAGGTCAGCGAGATCTTAAAATAGTTTTCAGACATGAAAAGGGTTGTTTAAAAAAACCAAGCTAGGAGGCTCCAAACATTACAGACAGGCTAACAGAACAAAACAAAAATCTGTGAATATTAATTGAGGGAGATTTTTGATTCTGGGCTGGACRTCATGTTCCTGTCTGAAGCGGTGGTGGAACAATTGATAAGAGCACATCGTTAGATTCTACACCATGGAGAGAAGTGGTGGGAAAATAACACATTTCTTTCCGTTTGCATATTTGATCCTGTTTGTTGTGTTCATGGATCTGGAGGGGAAGGTGTCTGGTTTGGGAACCTCAGGGTATTGTTTCTGCTTTAGGCCTTTGATGCGGTTCTGTTTGTGTCTTCGGACCGTTGATTCAGCGTGGGCTGGTGCAGTTCACAGGTGGAATGAGAGTCAGGTTGAAAATGTTTCCAGATCGGATGCAGTTTTTGCCCTCAGGTGGATGCGCTCAAGTATCTGGACAGGCTCAYGACGCCAGAATGGAGCAGGAGATGGATCAGCCGATCAGGACCTCCTCCTCAGTAATGATGGTGTTGCTTTGGTCAGTTGTGGTGAAGAAAGGCRAAGCTCTCAATTTACKGATTTGTCTACAATTWAGCCTCCTCAATGATCATGAGGTGTGGATCATGACCAAAATAACAAGATCCTGGGTACAACCTGAAATGAGGTTCCTTAGGTTGGCCAGGCTCAGCTTTAGAGATAAAGCGAAGAGCTCGGTCACCCAAGGCTTGGACTAGAGTCGCTGCTCCTCTGCATTGAAARGAGTCAGTTGAGGTGGTTGCCTCCTGAACTCYTCCCTCCACTGGAAGGAGACACCAAGGCAGACTCAGAACTTGCTGAAGGAATTCTATATTCAGTSTGGTCTGGGAACACCTTGGGATCCCCCAGGAGGAGCTGGAGATAAGGAAGTCTGGGTTTCTCTCATKGACCTGTAAGAAAACTACTGTTCAATAAACTGAAATCGAGATGATAAACACAGATGTTAAATAAAGTGATTTGTAAAAGGAATGAAGACCATACAACACCAGAATCTGGAATMTGAGTGGAGSTTTATYGCTGCTTCTGCAGACAGGAAACCCACACTGACTATAAAACCGGAAGTTCAAGTATTTATRCAKCTTCTTCAATGCYTTTGCTCGCCCCCTGCTGGCCTACGGCTGAGTCACAGGCATTCAGACAAAATTCTCACCTAATGTATTTCAAGCGGTCATTTATGTGTTGACAAAATGTTTCAGACATGTAGCTATACCTATTTTAATCAAGTCATAATAGATTAAACCATAGATTAACACTGTTATTTTTTCAAAAAGAGAACTAAGAATATAGTGTTGTGCTTCTAAAATCAGTCCTAAACTACCTAAAACTAAATTTCTACAGACCTATTGCCTCAGTGACCTGACCACAGATAAAGGGTAGAAGATGGAGATGGGGAACTAAGATTATCTTGGATTATCTTAGGGCTGTTTTGGTCTAGCCTTGAAAATAATGTTATGCTCAGTTTGCTAGCTCTCAGAGAATATATCGGGGATGACTCCCAGCTACTACCACACCAGATTTTAACCTCAGTATTTGAGGTTAATATAAATATAAATATAAATAAAATAATTTTCAGAAGCACACATATTTTTACGTAAAGTTTCAGAGCAGTGTTTTACAGGTAAAAGCAATACATTGAATGAGAACAAATGTGAGGGGAAAAAAGAAGCCCTGTCGTTTTATGTTAGTTGGCAGCTGTAGGGTTTAACCTTGTTAAAAATAATTGATAACAGTAGCAGTAAGGCGCCCGTTTTTACACWAATGGATAAAACATTGTTAGAAAAGCACCTGAGATGTGATTCACTTAAAATACTTCTCACATTGTGATCCACTTGTATGATTTTTTTTTGTCTTTTCTTTAGAAAAACATAACCTCTCAGTTCAGTATGTTTTAAATTACTTTAGCATCCATTCTCTCCTAAAATGTGTTCTTGTTTAYGAATATTTTTACAGCAGCCGCTTCCATCAAGGCCTAATAATTCTCTGTGTAATCATGGAAAATGAGTTCATGCTGAGCCACACAATACAGATTGTGCAAGAGCTCCCCCTAGTGGCCAGCTAAGGCTCAGCTCCTGAACAAAAGCGGCTGAGGAGTTTCCCTTTGGTCTGATTGGTAGGGGAGAAACTGTATCAGCTCTATGTGGAGGGGGGTGAAGGTCATGGATCCCATCCAGCCTCTGGTGCAAAGTCTACACAGCTGCACTGGATGAGACACTCCTGGGGACACTCAGAGGCCAAGCAGCATCCATTATAGACATCTGTGCTGATTATATCAGCTTCAGCCCACCATAAAGGCCCTGAACCTACTCCATCCCTCCTCCCATCACTTTAGGTGGGCTCACACGGTACCTCCCGCTTCTCTCAGCTGCCTCCTCGCTCTGCTGTCGGGAGGTGTGAGCGCCAGTGGCCGTTTACCATCCGAGTTCAGGAGGAGGGGGTCCGCCCCGTGACCCCRCAGGACTGACACCAACTCCGGGCTGGACAGGCGAGCGAGCGGCGATGCGCAGGGGCGACTCACCACCAACGCTTCGGTTCACATTAGCGCCTGAGGGGGAGAAGAGGTCAGAGGTCGTGTCGYCACCTCACACAAGGAGAAAAGTTTCTGACAAGTCTTCGGTTCAAGACGAACTTTATTCCAGCTCGTGAGAGAAAGGGTGGAGGAGGGCGTTGTTCGCACATTTTCATCATTTGTGTGTATTTTCATGTGACGCCCGGCCTTAGGGAGTTTAGCCTCAGAGGATCTCTGATGGAAATCAGGCACAGTTGCACACTTTGGTCCATTAGTCATGTTTWAACAGTTTATTTTAATTTAACATGTCGGATTGATAAACAATACTCAAGAGTGTTAGATAAAAGTAGCCAGACATTTACAGATAAATGCATTTTGTAGTTATCTCATAAAAACACGTTATCTACCTGAGTAAATATCTCAGTTTTATTAATGCTCTAGTGCTCACCTTGTTTTATGTTTTATTTGTTTTCTTGGAGCATCTCTTCCACTAGAGCTTTCTCAAATCTTTCTCAAAGTACAAAACCTACACAGTTGAGAAGAGAAATGCCCAATAAATTGGATTTAAAACCAACATTTTGGCTGCTTTGAAACATATAATCAGCTGGATTCAACAAGAACRATCAGTAGTAATGGAGGTGTGCTGGGTTGGACAAGTTTATACACATTTTACTGGTTGCATTTGGCTGCAATTTGAATCAATCTACCAAAGATTATATTTTAGAGTATATTTGCTCAAGTGCAAGGCCTGTAAAGCAATAAACAGCAGAAAAGCTTTTAACTCAGAATGGCAGATTATGTGTAGGGTAAAACTTAAACAGGAAATGTTGTGCTTGTCACATTGTTAAACTCAGAAAGGCACCACAGAACCGTCTGACATAATTCCCTGGCTTTTATTAAATGCGGGTTTTTCAGGCCAGCGCATTAAAAGTAGGGCTGTGTATTGGCAAGAATTTGGCGATACGATACATATAACAGAGGGGTCACGATACGATATATCCCGATATATTGCGATACTGTAAACAAGGTAACATATTGCGATATATTGCGATTTTTTTGTCCAAAAATTCTATTAAATAAAAACCTCTTACTGAAAAAAAAAAGAAGAAAAGCTAATGTTTACTTACAATGCTAATGCTACCCTTACTCTCTGGTGCACAAGAGGTAGAGGAGCCAAATGGCTGGCTCACTGCTGCCAACTAGTGGTCAGAGGCTGAACTACAACATAAAAATGAACGGTTGGCAAGAAGGTTGACATTTTAAACATTAATTAAAAATCGATACAGGGCTTTAGAATATCGATACAGTATCGGGAAATGAAATATCGCGATATTTCAGTGTATCGATATTTTCTTACACCCCTGATTAAAAGTGTGATTTCGTCTCAGCCAGCTGCAGCGGTTTTCTTACAGCGCTCAGTTGCTGGTTGATGCAAGCGGAGAACCCATGGTGTCAGTGTGCTGATCCACGTCTGCGCTGTTCTGAATCAGGGTTTCGACTCMGAGTGGCCTGAAGAGAACAACCGGAGTCATCATCGACAACTTTATTCATCCAGAATACTTCTGGTTGCTTTCAGCTTTGACCAAACTAGGCCCAGCTAAGATTATACATGCACATGCAGCGTGATGTGACCTTTGATCTTTAGCTGCAGCCTGGTGGGTTGGAGAGCTGGACGGGCTGGTCCCCTGGGGGTCTGCRCCATGCTGAAGTAGCATCGATACACAGGCCACATGACCCCGGGCACACGCTTCTGACAGGGCGGTTTGTCCATCCACAGTGGGGCTGTTAACCTGACACAAGTTTTACACACAGAACCTTTATTATATCTTGTTTTAGATTTGTGAGATGCAAAACTTGTTTGTTGAGCATTTCTATTTGCATATTTGCTGGTTGTTAATTTCTTACTAATTTGCTCAAACTTCAACTCAAATCTGGCAATAATTTATGGTTCTGAGCAGAAACTGAGAAATTAGTAAACCATTTTACTTGAACTGTTGAACCAAAGAAGGATTTTTTAAATTATTATTAATGTTATTTTTCTCACATTTGCTCCGTTTTCCAGCAGAAGTTTGGCGCAGGCTGTGTGGCCTTGCATGCACGCTGCATGTAGAGGCGAGACCTGGTCCAGGGTGTTCAGGTTTACACACAATCCCTGTGAACAGAGCAGGGAGGGAGAAACTTTAGCTGCAAATCACAAAAGTAAAATATCTGCACTATTTGAGCTCAAAATCAAGCTTTGTTTATACTTCAATAAGACGTGCGACAAGCGGTTTGTTGTTCGCGCAATTTCAGCTCGTCTTTTTCCTGACCTATAAATGAGCTGCAGATGTGGTGGCCATAAATGATCATAAATCCTCCCTCTGCTCATATAAAGTATATAAACTACAATAACGATGGCTAGATGGTGTTTTTTCCCACTCAAAATCAGTTTACTGTAAGTAGAGCCGTTCTTTTTATTTTTTTATTTTTTTTTTTAGGTGGACAGAAAAAAAGACGCGACCAGCTGTGTGCTCTCAGTGGTGCCTGCAGAAATTTTTTTCAGGGGGGCCACTGAAAAACCAGGGGTGGCACACCAAAACTAATATCTATAACAGAATTTGGATGATGTGTTTGTAAAAATGACAAATTGAAAACYATGKCAATATAAARCTACGGATTCACCAACAGATGTTCAAATTGTAATTTCACAGATAATACCACTGATTTTATGACATTCAGAGACAAAAAACAAAAGTAAGTATTTGTAATGTTGGGGAGACCCAGTGGCGGGGGGTCTGGGGGTTCCTTCCCCAGAAAATTTTTAAAGAAGTAAACGCCATTTCCTGCATTCTGGTGTATTTTAACAGGTTGTTAAACAGACTTTTACCTACATAAGAAAACACTTAACGTGAGTATTCCATAGTTAAAATAAAAT